ATGCTACGGTGGTCCAGTGTGGCTATTTAAACCACGACTACCTGGCCATCCCAGGTAACCGGCCCTGGAGGAACAGAGGGGAGAAACATCTCAAACGGACGTCCAGGTGGGACTGCGGCCCACAGGGCGGGGAAGGATGAGGGCAGTTGTTGTCAGGCGGGTTACGTGAGCTGCACCACGCAAGCACAAAGCACTGCTCTGTATGGGTTTCACAGCTGGGACCCTTTGGAAAGCACACAGCCAGACCTCCTCCCTCGACGCCTCTGGGTGAGCTTCAACTGCCAGCCTTTCATTCCCAGTCCAGCCGCCACCATGTGTGTGACCCACGGGCCTCTGAACAAACGAACAAGACCCAGCTGACTGCCACGGAGTTCATTCGGGCTCTGACGGACCCCCCAGGGCAGGGGAGGGCTGCCCCTGTGGGCTTCCCAGACTGTGAATCTTTACGGGAGCGAATAGAAGCCGGCTCTATTCCCACCCCAACCTCCCACCATTGCCTTCCTCAGTCCCCCTGCAGAGGGGGCCCCCGGCCAAGCAGAGCAGCTCAGAGGAGCGGTGAAGATCCGCTGCCCCCTTCAGCAGACTCCAGCTCCACCCCCAGGCCATGAAAACAGGCCCCTCCCTCACCTTTCCTTCCCATCTTCCCCACATCCTCTGCCCCATCCCGGGCTCAGAAGGCAGGTCCCATTGTGCCCAGCACAATCAGCTCCTTCACAGGGCACTCACTCCTGGCCCTCCACCAACTCTCCTCCAACACTCACATTCTGCCTGCACGGTCCCAGCTGCTGTTGGCCCAACACGCCGAGAACCTTACCTTACATGACCCTTTATCAGTGACAATCCCTATGCCCGGAGGGCCTGCCTACCCCTTCTTAGTCCACACCTGTTTCTCAAGGCCACTTCCAAGCAGTCGGACCTCACACAAGTGAGGAATGGATCCTTTCTCTGCCTCGGTTGCCTTGTCTGTGAAAAGGAACAGGAACAGCTACTCCCCAGCGCTGTTGTAAGAATGTACGTCAAGTGTTTAGCATGAGCTTGGGACATCCTAACCGGTGCCACCTTCTCACCCACCACCAATGCCCCAACTGAGTATCCCTCAGTTCATGGCTCTCGGTGCTGATGTCCCCTCTACATTGGAAGGGAGCGGCCATGGCTATATGCCAGCACTAAGGACAGTGGGTGGCAGGCGGGAAAAAGCCACATGGACCGACCCATACAGGAAAGGGCGGAGAGACCAGCAAAGGCTGGAGGAGAAGACGGAGGGAAAGGGTCTCCTGGTGGGTGAGATGACCCAGGCCCGGGTGGGGAGTGAGAAAGGCAAGATGCATGTGGCCAGAGCAGAGGGTAGGTATGCACAGACGACCCTTGCCTGTAGATCCTTCCTGGGACCTCGAGCAGCCTGCTCCTGGCACTGTACACTGGTGCTCAGCAGGCCTCCCTGCTCCCACAGCCCTTTCTGGGCTGCTGAGGAAGAGGTGGCTGCCCGTGTCTGCAGCCAGCGAGCTGTGGGCATAACCGCCCAGGCTCCCCTTAGTCTCCAGCAGATGCTCCGAAGCTAGCCTCCGTCCCCCTTGCTTGCTTGGGGTGGGGTGGGGCGTGGGGAGACAGAGTGCCATGTGTCAACCTGGATACCGAGGTGCCGGTGCGGTGCCGAGTGGCAGTGCTGGATGCTGCCTGCCCAAGGTGGGCCCTGCCACCCCTGCTTCCCGGGCTGCTCCTGGCCATGGAAATGGGACCCACCAAGTTAAAACACAAAAGCAAGTGACCAGACCTGGTGCACCAAGTCCAATCCAAGTCGTAGTCACACTGTAGGAGGGACTAGAACTGCCTCACGGGGTTTCAATGGAATCTGCCTAACGGCGGCAGTGTTGTTTTGTTTTTTAAACATCTTTATGGAAGTCAAATGCCTCTCTTTCTCTCGTGGAGAGGCTGGTGAGTTCAAACTTCGGGTCAGCAGCCGAGTGCTTTAGCCATTGGGCCACAGATCTCCTCCATGCTGAGCAGGGAGTGCCTGTCTATCCTGGAGACTCCAAAGGGGCTTCCCTCCCCAACAACCTTCTCAGGGACAAAGCCTCCACAGCAGGAGGTGCCCAAGGACACACACACAGGTGGGCCTGCAGGATGAGAAGGAAGAGGAGGCAAAGCGGCCCCAGCGAAGGCAGGGAGGCTGTCCCGAGTGCGTGCCAAGTCCCTTAATAAGACAGCTCGATTGCATCTCCCTACAAGGCTGTGCCGACAGTGAGAAGGAGGAAGGCCCTTCACATGTTGGGCGGGCACGGTGGCCGCTACGATGGGCCCGGGCACACAACCACTGTGAGGCTGGAGCAGGACCAGGTGGAGCATCCTCCTGCACACACGGGTGCTCTGAGAGAGCCACCTTGACGGCACCGAGCGAGGACGACGGCAAAGCTTTTGCGACGGTGACAATGGCCCAGGGCCGGGCAGCCATTCATCCTGCTTTGCATAAGGTCCTTGTGATGACCACTGATAAGACTTTCTGGGTGGGACAGGTTGCCCCTTTGCACGGAGATGAGGTAGGTTCAGAGGGGAAGTGGCTTTTCCCAGATATTCCAGAGGCAGGTGAAGTTGGGATTTGAACCCAGAGTCTGCCAAGCCCAGAGCTTTGCTCTCTAACCACTGAGCATCCACCACCCAGTCATCTTGCAACACGGTCACTGAGGCTCCCATAGCTCAGGCGCCATTTAGAGCTGGCTGTTCAGAGCAAGAGCCTCCTCCCTGGCTGCTGGCTCAGGGCCGGGGTCCAGGGGTGTGGGAAATGGAACGCGACTCATGTTAGGGGCGATCGGATCCTCAACCCCAGCCCTCCTGTGCCGGCAGCTAGTAGTCAGGAGCCCTGGGGTCAAAGCCCCACCTGACTCATCTGGAGAGTTGCAGGGGCTCACTGGCGGAGTGGGGGGCAGGAGCTGCTGAGGAAGCCGCAGGCCTGCTCACCCCTTCCCCATGGCAGCCTCTGGGCAGGGGAGGGGTGCCCGCTGCCCTCTCTGTTACAGCAGTTCTCAGCACAGGTCAATGCAGAGTGACCCGTGCCCGTCCCCATCCTGGGTGGGAAGCCAGAGTCGGGAGGGAGTAAGAAGGCAGAAAGAGCACCCTGTCCTCAGGTCTCCTCAGACATCCCTTCCCTGAAGCCCCCCGAGGGAGTCTCCCCAGAGCAGATGGGAGGAGCGTTAGCACAGTGTGTGCCAGGCCCGGGGATGGGCTGAGGACAACAGCAGTGGGCAGAAGACTTGACCTGCTTGCGGCTGTGAGCTCACTAGGAGACGGGTGTGTGTGTGTGTGTGTGTGTGTGTGTGTGTGTGTGTCCCAGCCCACTCACCAGTGACAGGTCCAGTGGCACGAGGGGCACATGGCCACACTCACCCTCACTCTTTGTTCACTCAGCCCTCGGCTCAGGTCTTCCTGCCCAGCAGTGAGGATGGCCACAGCTCGAGAGGGCACCCAGAGAGGGCTGGACACGGGTGGGGCTGGGAGCCCATCTGTTCTGATTCCTGGGGGGCCCTCTGCCCCGAACATTTGGTGGAGCCCATTAAAATGGAAAAGCCAAGTGGCTGGTACCTCTGAATGCCAGCTCATTCTCCCTGGCATGGAGGGTCCTGTTTAAGGGAACCAGCTGGCATTAATGGCACACAACTCATCACGAACAGCAGCTAGCGATCAGAAAAATCTGAGCTCATCCTCGGGTTCGGGAAAGATAATGAGACATGGAACAATCAGGGCGGAGGGTCCCCTGGGGTCTGTTTTAACAGCCTCCCAAGAAGCCACAACGCAGAAATCAACCAAACAGGAGTGCCATCTTGGCAGAGGGGAAAGCAAACGGTGCGGATTCAGCACAAGAATCCCCCGCGGGGCCAGCGCATGGGATCCTGGGAGAGGTGGGAGGCAGGGGTCCGTGGGGATCTCCACTCACTTCTCTCCAAGCTCTGGCTCCCAGTCAGTGAATTTGTCATGGCGGCGGTCAGGGGACAAGGGAAAGAGAAGGGCAGATTGGTTTCCTGTCTGTCTCCTGTCTGTCCTCACTTAGCTGGGGCTCAGCGCTAACCAGCACCAAGCACCTGGAGGGGGCGCGTGGAGGGAGCGGGCCAGGATAATCACACAGGCTCAGGAGCTGAGGGGCAGAAGAGAAGCCGTGGGTAGCAGGATTCATGAATCACCCGGTGTGTCTCCCAGGCCAACACCAATGTAACTTCTGCCAGGGGGGCCAGGAGACACTGCTTGGCTCTCTCTTTCAAGCATCCTGGGTCCTCATGTCCATCTGCCTCCTCCTCCTCTCTCATTCCCAGTTCAGTTCTGCATGGCAGAAGAGGCGGAGCTGTCCAGGACAGGGCCTCCCCAGCCCACATCCAGCCTCACCTCACTCGCCCATCCCTGCTCCCAGAGTGCTAGGACGCAGCCACTTCTCTTCCTCTGTGTCTACCACCTACTGGAAGGCCCATCTTCTCTCCCTGGAAGGGCTGCCCAGCCTCCACTGGGCTCTCCACTCCCGCTCTCATCCCCAGCCCGAGGGAGCGTCTAGAAAAGGGGAGGGACTCATGCTCGAAGCCTTTTCGTGCTCACCACACTGTTTGCCGCGGCACAATTCACAAGAGCCAAAAGGTGGGAACCACTCAAGTGGTACCCAAAATGTGGCTCACCCACCCAGTGGGAGCTCCCTCGGCTATCAAGAGAAACGAAGTCCTCATACCACAGCATGCTGAACCTCGAAAAGAGGCTGCGCGGGAATACACCACACACAAAAGGCCAAGTGTGACCCCACGCACAGGAGGACCTAGAATAGGTACACACACATACACACCTGGGGCGGGTGGGGGCCGACTGGGGAGCACTTCCTTAAGAATGTGCAGTTTATGTCTGGGATGAGGGAAGAACTTCTGGAAACGGAGGGTGGCAATGGGTGTGTAACATGGTGGATGGGATTCAGGCTGCTGAATTCCACACTTAAAATGGTTCAAGGGCAAAAAAAAAAAAATATATATATATATATATTTAAAATTATATATATACATACACACATATATATATATTTAAAATTATATACATTTTTGTGGTTGTTGTGGACCACGGAGCTCATCCTGATTCACAGTCTCCCTCTGATGGAAGAGAGTCACCCCACGGGCTCCCAAGGCTAAAATCTTTATGAGCGGAGACTACCGGTCTTCTCCCACAGGGTTTCAGCCACGGGCGTCCAGGTACAAGTCAAGCACTTGGCCATTATGCTGCTAGGACACCCATGCATTTTTTTTTATGCCAATAAAAATATTTGGGGGATGGGAGGGGCTGCAGTTTCTTACGGCACTAGACACGCGCAGCCCTGACTGGCTGCTGGCTGGTCCTACCCACTGGGCTGCAGCCACCAACCAGTTCCTCTCCTCTCCTCTCCTCTCCTCTCCTCTCCTCTCCTCTCCTCTGGGAGCTCCCCACCCCAACGCCAGCCCTGTCACTTCCTCCATCTCCATGCCTCAGTTTCCTTGCCTATACAATGGGGGTGGATTCCTAAGCACGGCCTGGTGCACTGGCGCAGGGTAGGCGCTCTGTAAGCGTTAGCCATGCTGTGAGGATGAAGACTTGACTGGCAAGGGGGAGTGGGGCAGCCACTAAGCAATGGGAACTGGGAGCTTTAGGGGTTCGGTCAGGGACACGTCAGGTTTAGGGACACGTCACAGAGCCCCACCACATCCTCCACATGCAGGACTTCCTCACATCTTCAACCTCTGGAATAGGCGTCAGCACCTCCCCGAGGGCAGGGGACCATCTCAGGGCCTGGAGGTGCAGCGATGGCTGTGGGGCAACACAGAACCCGTTCCCAACTGGTCAACTAGCCGGGGGTCAGGACTCAATGGTCCCTGGGGCAGGTTCCCCATCATTCAGGGTTGTCTGGTGCATGAGTCCCCAGCAGCCCACTCTGCCTGTGCTTTTGCCATGCCCCACAGGCCCTCCCACGGCCTTGGCAAGACCCCGTGGACCTCCCCCATGTCCCATCCCCTCGCCAACACCTCTTCCTGCAGGATAGCCTCGCTCACCTCTTGTCCGTGTCCCGAGCCTGCATGCTCTCCTCCTGTGTGCCTTCCCCCAGGACCACCACCCTGCTGCCCATCTATCCGTCCTCTAAGAGTTTGCCCACCTGAATTAGGGTGCCCCCTAGGGTCTGATTCTGAGTGTATTCTCAGTTCTCCACTCTGCATCTTGAAGGGTGCCTTGGCCTCTTGGCAGCCCCCAGGGGCCGTACCTACACCATACCCAACACACTATCCGCCCCCTGAGGGAAGGGAGTGGGTCCTCCCGCCACCCTCCCCCCAGCTAGGGCCCCTCCAGGGCTGACCACAGAGATACTTAGCACCAACTCCCAAGGCACAAGGCAGGGAAGACAGGGTGGGGCTGGGGTGGGGGTAGGCTTCCTTTGTTAAAAGACAGCAAACTGTTGGATTTCAAAAATAACTTAAGTCGGAATTTCTTTTCTGTTCCCAAGAAAGAAGCCAGGCACTGCCAAATCTATTCAGATGACTTGCCAAGAGGCTGCTAACCCAGCCCCAGTGGGCCTGCCATCAGCCCTAGATTTAATTTAGGGGACATGCAAATTGGGGACCCCTGATTCAGGTTTGTAGGCCAAGGCCAGTGGCTCCACTGCAAAGTAGAGTTGGGGGTGGGCGTGGGGACAGGGACCCAAGGGCCCTCCAGCGTCCAGTCAAGGAGGTTGGGTTCCTAGGCCCGGGCCTCCATTCCAGCTGGCCCTCAAGAGTCTGGGCCCTGCTCGCAGCCCCCATCCGTGTCGCCTGCTTGAGGGGCTCGTTTTAATTAATGCCAGAGCCGGGCCAACCACTGGGGCCCTGACACTTGTTTGCAGGTCATCTCTTCCTAACAGGCTCACCCTGGGAGGGGGTTTGTCACTAATTGAAGCAGAGCGCAGTTAATGAGGCTGAGGGGCCCGGGGTTCCTGAGAACTCGGGGGAAGGAAAATAAAACAGAGCCTCTTTCTTCCGAAGGTTTGCGATTTACACACAAAAGAAAAGCAAGCAAGTCAGAAGCTCTGCTCGATCTGCCGAAGCTGGACCCTCACTGTGTGAGGAGGCTGGCGGAGGGACACCTCCACTGCTGAGCCTCCAGGACCGGGAGGAGCGGCCTGGGGGGGCCAGCAATCAATCAGCCACCTAATTAATACGTATTTATGGAGTGGTGCTCTGAGCTCCCCTCTGTGGGGGGGGGGGGGGGGGGGGGGGGGGAGAAGACGTAGCCCCTGTCCTTGGCAAACTTCTAATCTGGCGAGGGAAGGGAGAGAGACAAGGTTCAGGCAGGGAATATTTTTTTCTATCTGTCCTTTTTTGCTGGCCATGGCATGTATTTACTGAGTCCCTGGGAAGGGTTTTCTCCCCAGAGTGAGCTAGAGGGGGCCCTCTAGCTCGGGCCCAAAGAGTGCCAGGCATGGGCGCAGGGGTAGGCCCAAGGGTGGCCTGAGTGTGGACAAGGTCCAGCTGTGGCCCTCGCCCCGCGCTGTGACACCTCTAGGAATCAGGAGCCACCTTCCGTCCTTACATGCACAAAGACTGTCTGCAAACCTTCCCTACCAAGGAGCTGCTCGGTGCTCAGAGGCCCAGGAAAGCCTCAGGATGAGCCTCTCTCCATGGTCTTGAGGGGCTGACAGGCCTCTAAAAGGGATCGGGCCTGTGAGCACGTGATAGCATTCAAGGCCACAGAGACACCATGGGGCCCCAGGAATTCAGGCAAGGACCAAAGGGGAGGGGGCATTTGGGGCACCAGTGAAAGATCACCCCCATGCCCCTCCCCTTTGGTGTAACCACCTTCTGGGACAACCCTGGCACCTCCCAGATACACATCCCTCCTATTGCCTCCCTGCCTGCTCCCTGAAGAAGCCTTGCCTGCTGGCCCCCCGGCCAGGAGCTCCTCACACACAAGGGGCCGGGCCTGAGACGGTGGGTGCGGAGCCACAGAGCAGAGGGCCGTGGGGAGGTACTCACCGCAATCGAGACGGCACTGATGACCGCTCCCAGGTAGCCCTGGATGAACTTTGATGCAGGGGAAGGCTGGAAGGCAGAGGCAGAATTTCAGACCGGCTGGGTATCCCAAGTCCACACAGCCTCGCAAACAGCGCCTGGCCAGCAAGAAGCCTTCCTTCCCAACAGCCAGGCCCCACACGGGGAGACACAACACAGCAACATCTAGGGACATGGCAAAGGGCCCGCTTCCTTTCTGCCCTGGTCTCAGAAGGAGTCCCCAGCCTGACGGGTACAGGCAGGGAACACGCTCAGCTTTGCACCCAAAGGCTGCAGCTGGAATCCACTCAGAGGCACGATGAAGGAAGGTCTTTGTAGCCTGCTGTCCGAAACAACCAGCCGCCGCAAACCCTCGGGGGCACAGCTCTCCTCGAACACTCACAGGCCACCAGGAATCAAAATCAAGTCCATCACAATGGGTTCTGGGAAGGTGATGGGCGAACACTACTGGCTGGAGACGGAGATGGCTAGAGGGCCCAGACCAGCAGTCTCTGTTTCAGGAGGGCTACACCATGTGGGTGGAAATGGCATTGCTCCAGCTGGTCCCAGTCTGGCTGGCTCTCACAGGTCTTATCCTTTATGCAGCAGTTTGGCTTCAATGTCACTTGATTGCTGTTGTTGGATGTGGACTTGGTTCTAAGTCCTATCAACCCTGTGTACAACCGAGCAAATACTGCCAGTCCTGCAACCGTCACCTTCACAACTATTGTTACGCTTGCGCCGGCTGCCACAGCCACTGTATCAATCCATCTCACTGAGGGCCTGCCTCTTGTTCACTGGCCCTGTGACTTTACCAAGTGTGGCGTCCTTCTCCAGGGACTGGGCCCTCCTGAGAACATGCCCACAGGGAGAATGACTGGGCTAGCTTTATTTTTTTTTAAGAGAACAAATCATTTGATTTATTATTCAAACAAGCTCCATTTTTATTTATTTAGCTTTCTGACTCTGTGCTTGTGCCTTCAACACTTTTACAACGATTTTCTGCTCCTCAATAAGGAAAGCACGCTTGATCCCGTCTCGGACACATTTAGCGCACATGGACCCACCATAAGCCCTGCTGACGTGTTTTTTGGTTTTGGACAACCTCATGAGAACTTTGGGTCTCACAGCACGGACCCCTCGAAGTCGGCCTGGGCACACACTGCATGCAGATTTTGGCGCTTTCCCAACCTTTTTTGTATATAAGTAAACAATTCTGTTACCAGGGGTTCGGGACAGCCTAGTTTTGTTAGAGGCTGTATTGTAGGACAGCCTACGCCGGTAGGTCAGACGCTGAACCATTTTGAATGCCACTTGGGCTAGCTTTTTAAGAAGCAATCTAGCTGGACTTCTTCCAAGACAGATTTGTTAGGACCTCTAGCGAGTCCCGGGTATCTTCAAGGTATATGCTTTGCCAATCGCATCATTCAAATGCATGAATTCTTGGGATTTCCTTATTCACATGCACAGGAGGTGGTTGAAAACACTATGGCATGGGTCAAGAGCACCTTAGTCCTCAAGGTGATTTCTTGGCTCTTAAACATTTTCGAGAGGACTTTCCCAACAGGTTTGCCCAAGTCATTTGATATCCTGAATGCTGCTTCCAGGGTGTTAGCTACAGGAGGTCGGCAGGTAGGCAGAATTCCATTGCAAGGTCCACAGGAACATGGCAGGCACCGCAGAGAGTTCCCAAGGTAAGTGGGTCACATGGGCCATCGGCCCCAGCTGTGAGACACAGGACTCAGACAAGCAGGAAGGACAGGACAAGAGAGTGAAACCACTTCTCCCCGGTGCCCGTCTTATAAAGCGAGCACGCCCTCAGGAGAGGTCATCAGTTCGTGACCTGATGGCTAGATTGGACTCTACCTCCACACAAGTGCACAAAGTGGACATGCAATCGAACCCTCACAGATAGTGTTCTGTCGGGTCACCGTTCTTTGCAATGGACACAAAGGTTTCTTCTAATCAGTTGGCCAGGGAGCTGTCTTCCAAATTTTTTCCCCATAGAAGAGGGAGAGCTTGCAGTCTTACAACACTTTGCTGAAACATGACAGGTGATATTTGGTCAATTCTTGGGGCCTTGCTTTTCCCTAACGCTCCCAATGATGCTTGGACTTCCTCCTTTGGTATCACCGGTCCTTGATCAAGTGCTATCCCTTGGAATGGCAGAATGTTGACCAACTATTTGGGGTACAGTAACCCTTGACATCCTTCCATCTTTTTTGTGCTTCCTGCAGGGTTTACTATTTCGCTCATAGAATTCTTCACAACTCAAGGCTTGAATTGCTGTCCTTCAGTTCCTGCAGCTTCGAGATCATGGCCTATGAGCTTCCCTTCTGGGTTTCTAACTCCAGGGCTTTTGCACCTTTCGTTCGGTTCTATCTTGGCTTCTCACCCTGCCTTTTGAAGTCTTCTGTTCAGCTCTTTTACTTCATCATTTCTTCCATTCACTTTCGCTAGTCTACATTCAAAAGCAAGTTTCAGAGTCTCTTTGGACATTTGCCTTGGTCTTTCCTATCTTCTTAGTGACCTTTCGGTTTCCGCGTGCAGGTCGTGGATGTCATCTGACAGCTTGCCTGGCCTTCAGTCACGAGCGTTCAATGAATCAGACTTTTTTCTTGGGATGGTCTCTAAATCCAGGTGCAATAGATTCAAAATGGTACGCATAGATACGTTTTCGTTTTCTTCAGCTCCTACCTGAATTTGCAGATGATCAGTTGACGATCCAGTATGGTTTTGATCGATGCTGCTGCGCCTCTCCATCCCCTTCTTTCATAACGACAGTGTGGGCTACATAGGGTTTGGTGCCCGTGTGGCCCACCTGGCCAAGGTCACGTATGTAGTCACTGTTCATGTTGTGAAAAATGTTATTCCTGATGAATAGTCATTGGTCTTACACAATCATAACATGCAGTCTCTGGCTTTGTTTCTATCGCTGTGGTCATACTTTCTTACCACTGACCCTTCTTGGTTTCTAACTTTTAAGCACCAGTAATTATCAATGAATCTTGATTTCCTGTTTGATTAATTGCAGACTGCATAAAGTTGCTGACCTCAGAGAAGAGTCTGGCTCGGCTACCCACTCCCCAGGGCTGAGAGGGAGAAGGACTGCAGGCTTCAGTATGGATTACACAACTCACTGTACAGAAGACCCAAATCCTCACAACTGGACCAACAGGTAACACCAGGATACATGGAGAAAAGGTGGAAGTGGTCAAAGATTTCATGCTGCTTAGATCCACAATCAGTGCTCATGGAAGCAGCACTCAAGAGACCCCATGGCGCATTCACGGTGTAAATCTGCTGCACAGGACCTCTTTAAAGGGGTGAAACGAAAAGAGGCTACTTTGAAGACCACAGTGCCCTTGACCCAGGTCATGGTATTTTCAATCGCCTCACATGCGTGTGAAAGCTGGACGTTGAATAAGGAAGACCGAAGAGGAGTCGGTGCCTTTGAGTAGGGTGCTGGTGAAGAACACTGAAAGTACCACGGGCTGCCCAAGGAACAAACAAATCTGTCCTGGAGGAAGTACGGCCGGAAGGCTCCTTAGAGGCCAGGATGGGGAGACTTTGTCTCACGTCCTTTGGACATGTTGCCAGGAGAGACCCGTCCCTGGAGAAGGACATCGTGCTTGGTAAAGGGGAGGGGTGTGGAAAGAAGAAGGCTCTTGACAAGATGAGTCGACAGGGTGGCTGCAACAATGGCTCAGCCATAAGGTCACTTGTGAGGGTGCAGCAGGCAGTGTTTTCTGCTCTTGCACACAGGGTCACTGGGAGTCGGAACCCACTCAATGGTACCTGACAACAACAACAACAACAACAAGAGGGGCACAATGCTTCACCCAGAGGAGACAGCACTGACCATGGCATGTCCCTGTAGGGAGGACAACTGGGCCCTCTCAGCTCGACTCTCACCACTGGGTGGTGGTCAGGGTGCTCACCTTGGTAGCATTGCGGTTTGCATAGTTGACACAAGCGTTGTGGCTCTGGTTCAACCACTGAAAGGCAAGCGGGGAGAGAATCAGAGAAGGTGTGGTCACCTCCTCTCGGCACCTGGTCTGGGGCCAGGAGGCCACATGCACCTCCCAGACAAAGGGCAGGGCCTCCGACTCACGATGGGTCCCATCCAGCCCCTTCATTATTGAGACCGACCATTGTAACTCGCCCCGGACTGTCTGCTGTGAGAGCTCAGAGTCCTGAGAAACCCATCAGTCCTCGACAAACAAGGATGGCTGGTCCCACCATCCCTACCCAGTGACAATCACTGCCCCTGCATTACAGGGTCACTGTGAGGCCAGGGGCACTGCTTCGTACAGTCACATTCTTGCTGCATCACTTGCTTGGGCCTGCTGGGTAGGTGTTGACATTTAGACTCCTGGAGTGATTGATGATACTGATCCTCTTTTAAAAATCCCCCAGTCTCTACATATAACCTCCTCCCTGGGGAATGGACAACAGAAAAATAGGTGACGGGAGACGTCGGACAGTGTAAATGATAATTTACATCAATGGTTCATGAGGGAGGGGGGAGGGGGAGGGAGGGGGGAAATGGGGAGCTGATACCAAGGACTCAAGTAGAAAGAAAACATTTTGAGAATGATGATGGCATCAAATGTACAAATGTGCTCGACACAATGGATGGATGGATGGATTGTGATAAGAATTGTACGATCCCCCAATAAAATGATTTTTTTAAAAAATCCCCCAGTCCGACGTCTTGCCGAACATCCGGTGCCCACACACGGCTGCTTTCAGGAACTTTATTCCGGGAAGACTCTGCTGCACTCTCTACGGAAGGCAGACGTGATTTCTTCCTGGCCTTCTGTCTCTGCGCACACCCTACACACAGGCAGCCTCAGCTGTGTTCAGAGCCCACAGCCCTAAAAGTCTCAAAGAGCAGATTCTGGGTCTGTGGTACATTCCCAGCCAATTCACTGCCTGGGGGACTGGGCTTCACTTCCCTACAGACTGGAGGAGGCTGATGTCACAATCAGCATGACCTCACGACCGTGGGACAAGCAGCTGATATGCACAGTGGGCTGGCCACCAGCAACCCATCAAGGTTCAGGTGAGGGCACTGGTCCATCCTTCAGTGCCTCTGTCCAAAGGTTAGAGTGACACCTAATGGCCCTACAGGTGCTGGGCTGCATGGACCTGCTCAGTTAGGCCCAAGGCTCTGGATCTTCCCCAGGGCTTCAGGGCCCGGGGAGGGTGAGCCCCCAAGAGGGAGAAGGAAGGGCTTCAGGGCCCGGGGAGGGTGAGCCCCCAAGAGGGTGAGCCCCCAAGAGGGAGGAGGAAGGGCTTCAGCAGCCTTTGTTCAAAAACTTCGTCCAAGAGCCAGGCTTGCTGGGGACGCTGGGGACGGTTACCTGCCAGAAAACGGTGGACGCCAGCGTCTGATTGGGCAACAGAAGACCAACCACCTGTGTGTGAGAGAGAAAAGGTTGGAGAAGCAAAAAACCAAAAACCAAAAAACCCAAACCCTACATTTTGCAAAGAAAAATGACATAGCCATAAACCAGCGCAAGGTGGGTCTGTACAGACTCATGTGAGGTGCCCACAGTGAGATGGCACACGGGCAGATCAATCAGCCAATCAATCAAGTCGCAGGGTAGTGCAGGCAGTGTGATCTCATGTCTGGAAAGAAAACTACCTTATAGAGACTCTTCCCTGGGTGGTGGAAACAGTTAACACTGGTGGCCTACCACCTAAAGGTTGGAGGTTCGAATTCACCTCAAGGCCCCTCAGAGGGAAGACATGGAGATCTCCCTCTGGGAAGCCAGCTATCGAAAGCCCTGGGTGCACAGCTCTGCTCTGACACACACGAGACAACGGCTGGGATTCAGAATGGACTTGACGGTGCCCAGTCTGTCTACCACCGTGGACACACACACACACACACACACACACACACACACACAGCTGTGAGCATCAGAAAAACTTGCAGCCCAACATGCCAATGACCTCTCTGGAGGTCAGATTCCAGGGACCAGTCTCACACGCGACGTAAACACTTCTGCATTCTTTTAAACAAGGGATACCTATTCTTTCCATAACCGATGGGGCGGGGGGGAACCAATCAGAACAGGCAAACAAAAGAAAGGTCTTCACTCCCTCAGGTGGCCGGCTCCTCCAATAGGTCGTGTGTAAGGATATAACAAAAATAATCTTAAATAGTAAATCGAAGAATTCGTATCCGTTGCTACAAATCTCTCTCCCGTCGCACGTGGTGAAGCTACTGAATGAGGCAGAAGGAAGGAATCCGCACACGCATCAGCTCAGTATGGCGGCAGATGTGGGGACTCAGGAGCCCCAAAGCCCCAATCTCACCTCAGACTTGCACTCCCTGTCTGGGTGTTTTGGGGTTTCAGTCAAGGTTGGTCGCCTGACCTTGACACTGAGTGCACCTTGGGCTTCAGGGACCCTCGTGTGCCCCTGGGTTTTCCCTTTTGAGTCTGAGTCTGAGAAATAACACCTACCAAGTATGGCCACGTGTGGGGAAAAGTGCACAACCATCCACATATTGATGGATTGATTATTCCCATGCGTGAAATGGCTCCTTGGCAAGCATTTCTGCAGGGAACTGGCATAAACATTCAATACTGTGCCGTAAATCAGATTCTAGACGTCCTCGGCAGCATTAGTAAATCATGTTTTAAACATTGAAGTGTTTTAAAACAGCAAGCAGGCACACACACTTATATTTATTGGCCCATATCTGGTTGAATAAATTTATACAATGCGAAGTTCCTCTACAGCTCTAATGAAACATTATCCTCGGAGACCTTTCTTTCACCGCGAGGTCCCAAGCCCATCTGCCTTTGCAATGCTGGCTTCCGCATCCTGGAGTGAAGTCAGGGGACCTTGGGTCTTAGTCTCCCTGTGTGTCTGTCCCCTTAGGGGCTCTAGCCTATAAAGTGACAGGTTGGCCTTAGTGGTCCTTCCTAGGTATAGAATTCTATGTTGGGGTTCCAGGTAGCAGGTATGGAGTCAGCATTGTCTGTAATGGATGGGCCCCTCATGCTGAGAAGGATCCCAAGCCCCAGGACTCCTTCCAGTCAGGGGCCACACCAGAGATCTGAAGCTGGTAATGAAAACACGGTTGGGGTGGAGGGTACCATGGATTGAACTGTATCTCTACCAGATATGTGGACCATGAGTCTCTGGTCCGGCAGCTGTGTAGTGATCCCCCATGAGGTGATCTCATGTAATAAGCCTATCAGTTGGAAAAGGATTATGGGTAGGATAACCAGAACTCATAGTGACCCTCCTGTGGGTTTCTGAGACTATTTAACGGGAGTAAAAAGCCCAGTCTTTCTTCTGAGGAGCTGCTGGTGGTTTTGAACTGCCAGCCTTGCAGATCACAGCCCAATGTGTAACCCCTACACCACCAGGACTCCTATGGGCCACTCTGAATCCCATCACAGCCCTGTCTGGATGTAAGGGGAGTTTCCCCTGGGGTGTGGCCTCTAACACCTTCTGTTTTACAAGCGTTAAAAGGAGCGAGAAGAGAGTAGAGGTCAGAGGGACCTACCACTTCCAAGGAAGAAGAGCCAGGCGTGGAGTGTGTCCTTCAGACCTGGAGTCCCTGCACTGAGGTAATCCTAGATCCAGGAGAAGATTTTACTCAGGCACATGGAAAACTCCAAGGAATGCTAGGGCTACGGATCCAGAAAGGACACAAGGACCTTCCCCGGAGCCAACCCAGAGAGCAAGCCTTCCCCTAGAGCCAGCACACTGAATGCAGACATCTAGCCCCCTGCACTGTGAGAGAATCCATTTGTTTGTTGAAGCCCTCCACATGAGGTATTCCTGGGAGAGCAGCACTAGAGACCTAAGACAGAGGGGCAAGTATATACGTGCATGTTTATTTCTACACGTGCCTGGTAAACGGCTTCCCAGAACTTGAAGACATGACAATTGTTCTCCACTGTCCGGATGCTCAGGATCATTCCCCAATCTGTTGATACAACAGGAGTGTGATGTAAACTATAGTGTCTCCCCTTGTCCCATCTATACCCTAGAACATTTCCAATCCCACAGGAACAGCCATGCCCTTGGACTCATTGTATTTAGCAGACCACTGCTGGCCAAGACACTGATCATTACATCACAGGCTACCCTCCATGAATCCGTGTGATGGAAATTGTTTTCTGCCCTTGGGATCAGAAGCTCTGCTTCTGAGCAATTGTTTGCATCTGTCTTACAGATGTCAAACCAGGTCACAGTGTCTCTCTCTGCACAGACGACTGGGCGTTCTGGCCCCAGCTCCCTGGCATATGCCCACCAAGTGCCCAGACCCCACTGCCAGCCTGTTTCCAAACCTCCCAGCTCCATCTTATCTTCTTTCCCTAATCTTCCTTGGGTCTCATTTTCATCTTCACATATTTTATCTTGTGGCTTACATTCTTGTAACTGGTACCAAGTCTTTTCTAGAACAAGCCAGAGCCCTAAATAAACTGAACAAGTACCCAGGCAATATGCTACACATGTGCATGAACACACACACACACACACACACACACACACACACACACACACCAGTGAGCTTTTCACTTTACTGGACAACCCTAGCCAGCTACATGTCCTCCCATGGGCCTGGTATCCTTGGCAGAACCCCTGGCTTGTTACAGAGAGCCTCACTTACACTTAGAGAGGTTTGATGGTCAAGCTCATGCCACTGATAGATTCTGACTCAAAGAAGCCTGATGGGAGATGGCAGAATTGTTCCTGGCGGGTTTCTGAGACTGCTGGGTTTGAACCACCAACCCTGGAGTTAGCAGCCACATGCTCAACCCACTGTGCCACTAGGGATCCTTGATTTTTGTCAAGCCCTGTCACCTACCCCAGGTATCCTAATCACCCTAGAGATCAAAAAACAAAGCTTACTACCCTTATCTTGCAAACTGGAAAACAGCCTTGAATGACCTGCCCAAGTCTTCATAGCAAGCTAGCCTTGGGTCTCCTGATGTCTGTCTCAAGTTTAGATCTGGGAAGAGCACTTTTCCCAGGTCTTCCCCGAGCACTAGGAGGGCAGTCAACACTCCAGACTCACAGAGTATCTCCTGTGAACCCACTCTGTGGTCGCTTTCCCCGAGGATGCCGGGGGAGGGGATCCGCAGCCCCCGACAACGAACACAACAGCAAACAGGAAAATACAGGAGAACGGCGTTCTAACACACACATTCATATTCTCACATTCTCTCTCCTGCCGAGAGCTTCAATTAGGCACCGGTGTGTGTGTGTGTGTGTGTGTGTGTGTGTGTGTGTGTGTGTCCCAAATCAAGGCAATTCCGGGCCTGAGGACAGAGTAGAACTGCTCCGGGGTACCCAAGGCTGTGATGTTATAGAAGCTTACTGCCTTGTCTTTCTCCCATAGAGCTGCCAGTGGATTTGAACCACAGAGGTTTAGTCAGCAATCTTGTGGTCCCCAAACCCAAACTGCCATTGCGTGACTCACAGAGACGTATGTAGACTCGGTGACTCTCAGAGCCGTATGTAGAACCCCCGAGGCTGGATATCGTTACACGAGCAGACAGCCTCCTCTCTGTCCCCTGAGTGCCAGCCCATGCCTCACCTGTGGAGCCCCCACGGGTCCTGAAAGCATTGCTACGGGCATTAAGTCTGCGTCCCGTCCACTCTTTCGGACAGAGGAGAACTGCCCATCTGCTTTCCAAAGCTGGGATCTTTAGGGACACATTTTGCCTCATCTTTCTTCTGCAGAGCTGCTGGGGGGGTTCAAACTACTGACCTTCTGGTTAGTAACCAGGGCTCCTCTTGGGTGTGCGTAAAATTGATAAAATCAAACATCTGAGCAGAAGTTCACAAAGGGACAGGTTAGTGCCAGCCTGGCTTTTTACCAAAGGAGGTCGAACTGAGCTGTGTGCCTGTGTGTCTCCAGGAGCAGGAGACTTAAGGGATCAACCGAGGAGTCTGAAGAGCGTAAAACAACAAAACACCAAGCAGCAAAATTCAGGGTACCTTGGGGACCCAGTCCTCCAGACACTTACACTGAGAGGGTGGGCACCAGGAGCCCGTCGGTGCCAACTGCAGTCCCTATTAGGTAAAACGCAGAACCATCTGCACACTCCAGGAGCAAGTGCAGATATTTTATAACTTCCTTTTCTTCTTTTTAAATCTAAATTAAAAATAAATGTTCCCTGCAGTTCTCAGATGTATATCTCTAGTACAACATGCCCACAATTCCCTCCTGCCGCCCTTTCCAGAGCACGGCAGGGGGCGGGGAAAGAGAAGGATAGAGAGGGAGCCAGCCCACCGGCTCCTGTGCTGGGGGATTACATCTCTTCCAAGAGGGGAACGCTTCAGGCGTGGCCATGCAGCTGAGTGGCGAGAGCCCACAATGCAGCTGGACAAAGGCTAGTGGAAGGAGAGGGCAACAGGAGCCAGCAGCGAAGAGGCCAAG